GTGCTTTGGTGCCGTAGTGGTTAGCGCACACGACCCATGTACGGATGCCTTAGTCCTCGACGTGGCTGATCCGGGTTCGAATCCGGCCTCTGGTCCTTTGCCCTATGTCTCTCCCCCTTTTTTCTCCTCCTCTCCTATCAGCCTACTGTCCAAAATAACAAGTTACTAGTGCCAAAAAAAAAAAAAAAGTCTCCACTAAAACACATTCAAGTAAAAATTTTTCTTGATTAAATACACTTATCATTTGTTGCACAATATGCAATAATTTAATATTTAAAGTACTTTCCTAAGTTTGAATTCTGAATGTGAGCGGACTTCCTTTAACAGTTTGTAATTCAGCATCTCTACCAGTTTTAAATCTCTCCAGTAAAGTTGTTTGGGTCAAAGATGGTTTGATATTCCACGACTGAAAGCTTTAAGTTTCTAAGTATAAACTGGGGAAGATGATAATTTGAAGATGATGCTAATTTACAGTCTGTCCCCAGTCCTCGTTTCTCTGCTGGCAGGGATTATTTTTTAGGAAACTTGTTCACCGGCTCTGATACCACTTCATTTCCTCAGCCTTTATTCTGAAAAACTAGTTTCTCGTTTTTTTTTATTTCTTATTATGCTCTTTGGTGTCTCACTGACAGGGATTAATTACTGAGCAGACATTATACATGAGTATTTAACACTATTTGCTTAAAAAACAACAAATGTAAAAAATAAAAAATAAAAATCAGGTTGAAAGATTCCAATGAAATCAGTCTTAAAGCTCCACTTTTTTAAGGAAAATATTTATACAGAGATTTTCAATCAGTGACAAAGCAAGTTCTCCACAGTGTGCCACAGTAAAAGCATCAACATTGATTTGAAGCACCAGACATGAGTACAATGCAAAAGGATTTATTCAGAATCAGGAAATGGAACATTTTGCTTCTGTGTTTGCAAAGAATGAATAAGCAGTAATGTTAAACAAGTCAGCAGTCAACAGATGATCGGCGGCGTAGCAGCAGCACAGAGTTCGTTTGTCTTTAGATCAGCCATGTTTCTTTTTTCTGTGGTTCTATTTTTGTTTCTGCTGAACACAGATGTCTGTTGTTGCACAGCTGCAGAGATGTTCTGGTAAGCACTAGTTGGATCCGCTGCAATAAATTCATCTATACGGCATATCACTGCACTCTGCATATGTCGGATGCTTCGGATGTTTATTTAGGCGCCATATTAATGGCTGTAATCTGTTATCCGTTTTTATAATGCAGAATGATCGGTTATAAAGGGTAAAATGCTGGTACCGTGGGCGAGCTATTAACAAAACCAAAGCAAGTTGTTTCATCACTAAAACAGCACAAGCTGTTGACAAGATGGAAAGAACCCCCCCCCCCACCACCACCGACCTGTTGCCCTTTAACTCTCCTGGTGAGAGCAGAAATAAAGCCCAGAATGAATGTCTGTATAATTTTTTTACACCTTATGAACTGTTGACTTTTTGTTAAGTTTTAGTCCCAAAAGTCGCTATTTTATTTGTTTTTGTTTTTTTTTTTTTGGCTTAAGGCTGTGCAAAATACTGCCTAATTATGTAGGGTCTTGTCACCAGTTAAGAAAAGTGTTGTCTTTTCTTATATCTCTCATAAAGTTTATTAAAGCTGCACACATTGCGCTTTCAAAATATTGCTTTGTAATTTAACCATAATCTGGTCTAACTGAAGTTAAAATATTCTGTCTGCAAAATCTGCTTTAATTCGCATCCTCTTTGTGTTTTTAACAGATATCTGTGTTTTTTCCTGTATTTTGTCCTTGATTCATTTTCACCGAACCAAATCTGCAGCTCCGTATAATTCAAACATCAGACTTTTTTGTGTGATAAAACATTATTCTCCTACTTTTATCTGTTAAAAGGTTTTGACTGTTTCTAAAACTAAACAATTTTCATCCATTATTAAAGTTCACTTTTTTTTTTTGCTTTTTGTTTAAGTGAAAAAATTAAAAAGTTTAAGAAATACTTCCAGATTAAGTTTTACAAGAACTTTAGTTTCTAAAATCACATTAGGAAAGATAATCTGACGGATTTGGTTGTTTGCGCCATGGTGACAGACGTGGGTTACCGTCTCATACAACAAGAGGCATGTCTTCTAAATCCTTTGGAAGCACCACACAGGAATCCCTGGAGCTGGAGCTCTGGAACTGAATGTTCTTTTCTCCAGGATCAGAAGAAGTTGTTCCTCCTTCCTGGATACCTGCCCCAGCTTCCTCCAAGGCGTCGTGTATCTCACTCTGAGTATGGTCGTCTGTCATCACCTCCTCAAGCATAACGGTGGTATCACAAGGGCCAACCAGCCCTTCTATTTCCGTCTGATCTGGTCCCCAGTAGTGGGCACCACCCATCATGTCTGTGTTGGAACGGTGGGTTCCAGGGATGTACACCCGGCGCTGGAGGACCCAGATTTGGCATGCAAGCACTGATATGGTAATCAGAAGGCAGATGATGAACCCTGCTGCTGAACCAATAGCAATCGGGCCCATCTTGGAGTCAATTAAACACTTTCCACCGGTAGTATTGGTGCCATCATTTGGGTTTTGTTGAAAAGCAGTCGTGAAGGAGGGATCCGTTCTAAATATTGGTGTGTCAGTCAGGTTTTCGGATTCGAGTAAGTACGTGGTTGTAGTTGAAGGATCTTGGTCTGCCTCAGCAGTTCGGTGCAGCACCAGAAACAGGACAATCAGGGAGGTTTTCATCTTTCTGTGAAGGAAATAATCCCAAACAAATGTTTTATTACCATTGAATCATTTTTCAACTTTCTTCTTAATGACAGTTTTAGTACTTACCTAAGGTTGCTCAGGAGGTCTGTGTGGCGTAATGGAGAGCGCCTCAAGAGCTGCTCTGAACCGTCGTCCTGACTTTCTCACTACGTCTTCTTCTCTGCTGGGGTTATATCAGGGTCTTTGGTTTGAAGCCACAGAGGCTAAGGTGCTGTTCTTAAAGAAGCAAAAGCATCAGTATTTTTAAACACTTGGTGTTTGAAAGGCTGCCTGTCTTATATATGTTCTTAGTGATTTTCTGTTTCAATCTAAGGCAGGGGTGGGCAATTCCAGTTCCTGGGGGCCGGTATCCTGCATCTTTTAGATGTGCCTTTGGTTCAACACACCTGAATCAAGTACCGGTACTCAGATAATTGGGAGGACTCAGCAGGAACCGACTGCATACTGAGGAGGTAACTCAGCCATTTGATTCAGGTGTGTTGGACCAAGGATGGATCTAAAAGTTGCAGGATACCAGCCCCCAGGAACTGGAATTGCCCACCCCTGATCTAAGGAATACACTGAATACCAAAGTTACAGCAGATCATGGTTTTTAATTTGACCTATTTTTTCTCCTCAGGTTCAAAACGGGCCAAATAAATGGAGACCTTCTCATCTACCATGTCCTCCTCACCTTAAAACCTTACTACGCTAAGCCCTACGAGATAGTCGTAGACCTAACTCACGTTGGACCCAGCAATCGTTTTAAGACTGACTTTCTGTCCAAGTGGTTTGTGGTCTTTCCTGGCTTTGCCTATGAGAACGTGGCAGCGGTTTATGTCTACAACTGCAACACTTGGGTGAGGGAGTACACCAAGTATCACGAGAGGCTACTGACTGGCTTGAAGGGAAGCAAACGTCTCCAGTTTATTGACTCTCCGGCTAAGTTGGCGGAACACATAGAACCTGACCAACAGAAACTTCCAGCAGCCACCTTGACATTGGAGGAAGACCTCAAGGTGTTCCACAACGCCCTCAAGTTGGCGCACAAGGACACCAAAGTCTCAATAAAGGTAGGATAGCAGTGAAAATCTCTTCGCCAAACAAGAGAGAATAAGATAATTACACAGGCTTTTTTTAATTTTACTCATGGATACTTGTTTATTCTTAGGTGGGCTCTACAGCAGTCCAGGTGACCTCAGCTGAGCGGACCCGGGTTCTCGGCCAACCGGTCTTTCTCAATGATGTTTATTATGCCTCAGAGATTGAAGAAATTTGCCTGGTGGATGAAAGCCAGTTTACTCTCACCATGGCCAACCAGGGAACGCCTCTGACGTTCATGCACCAAGAGTGCGATGCCATCGTTCAGTCTATAATTCATATCCGTACCCGCTGGGAGTTGTCTCAGCCCGACTCGATTCCCCAGCACACAAAGATCCGCCCAAAAGACGTCCCAGGAACTCTTCTCAACATTGCTCTACTCAACTTGGGAAGCTCTGACCCGAGTCTGCGGTAAGTTACTCAAAGGTTTCAAGAGGGTCATCATCAAACCATTGCAATGTGGATTTAATGTACTAAATCAGGATCTGTATAACTAACACTCAGTGTTTCATTAAATCAAAGCAAGCTGTGCTTTATGATGAAATAATGAAAAACTAGTTTAGTAACATCACTCAATGTCTTTTCCACTTGCAGGTCTGCAGCTTACAATCTCCTCTGTGCTTTAACTTGCACATTCAACCTGAAGATAGAGGGGCAGCTGTTGGAGACGTCCGGTCTCTGCATCCCAGCGAACAACACACTTTTTATTGTTTCTATCAGCAAGACCCTCGCTGCGAATGAGCCGCATCTGACCCTGGAGTTCTTGGAAGAATGCATCTCAGGCTTCAGCAAGTCAAGTAAGTCCATTGAGGTGGTAGATGACTGTTTTTTCCCCCTTCTTGTGTCATTTTTGAACTCCCCTCTGACCTGAAGAGGTCAAAGGAGTTTCTGCCTCAAGTGAAGGAGTTCAAGTATCTTGGGGAGATTGATGGCCAGATCGGTGCGGCTGCTACCTTAATGCAACACTGCGCCGGTCTGTTGTGGTAAAGAGAGAGTTGACCAAAGAATCAAAACTCTTTCTTTTCAGTTGGTCTATGTTCCTACTCTCACCTATAATCTGGATCTTCACCTAAAGGACAAGATCCTAGATACAAATAGCTGAAATTGGCTTCCTAAGCAAGGTAGCTGGGCACTTTCTTAGGAATAGGGTGAGGAGCTGGAGAAGCTGGGAGTAGAGCCACTTCTCATCTACATCGAAAGGTGTCAGCTAAGGTGGCTCGGAATTATTAATCAAGATGCTTACAGAGTCCTAGTGGATTATCCAGGACACACTGGAGAGATTAAAGCATCTTTCCCACTGAAAATACCATTTTAAGGTTTTGTTTTTGTTTTTTTCAAACATGGGTCGACGTGCTAAAAATTGGCATTTGGCTCCCTTCCGATTGGCAAAAAAATGTAGGGACTACTGTAACCCCTTGCTGGCAGCTGCGTGATCTCCGTCCCTCCATTGTGATGCCATCACACTGGGTTAGTGTTGATGATGTCACCAGTGCAACAGAAATAAAGCAAGTAAACAATGGAGAGCAACAGGTAAGGAAGCCAGGGCGTATTCAGTGTGCCTTGTTGTTTCTCTCTATTATCGGTCTGAATCCCAGTTCAGCTGCTCCATGTTTATTGAAAGTAAACAGAGTTGTTTAGCTCAGACACAACTGGCGCAGTGTGTTGATGTCCGTACTTTGCATTCAATTCTGTCACATAATTTAAAGGGTCAACCAGGCTCTGGGTTTCCCACCC